CTATGTGGTTGCTGTCTGTTGAACGCGGTTCTGAAGGGAGACCGAGAAGTACTCGTACCTATAGTTACAAATGGCTGCGAAAGTGCAAATCTGTATCCCGCGCGGGAACCCCGGCGATTAAGCGCGCACACCCTATAATTTTCAGCGCGAAATAAGGAACACTGAAGAGAAAACAATTCCTTTCTGCAGGAGGATCACAAAAACAAGTGCATTTGTTAACGTACGATGCTCTACCTTTCATTTCTTGCCATCTAGATCATTCTTCATTAATATGTTGCCTCAAGAACTTAGCACGGATAAGAAAGTAATGGTTTGTATGTGCCTAAACAGAGAGGGGCTTTCTACTGATATTCAAGTGTCGAGAGGTGAATTACTCATTCTGAGACTAGGAGACTCAAATGCTCCAATTTGGAAAGCACTTCTGACACATCTCATTTTTGATGTTAGACCACTTGGATAAAACTGATTCGAGCATGTTTAGACAACTTGTACATACAGAGCGTTTCGAGTTTTCTATTCTCAGAATGGGTATTGCTGTAAGCGCTGTAAGTTCAGATGGATTTCGATGAAACTGTTCGTGAAAATCACTGTGCACGTCAATTTCGGCAGCTTCGGTAAGCTTGGGTACCTCCAGCTCAGGTAGGGCGCTATCACGCTTTCCAGTTTACTACTTGTCACACGATTTTCGCTACTTAGTCTTCTTTTATATCTCACAGATGGGTGGATAAGAGTACAAAAGCATAAGTACGGCCTGTGAGAAATATGTGCAGATACCTCTCCTTCTTTGCCTCTCACTCCTCTCTGAACGCATTCCTTATGTATCTATTGCGACGCACTGAAGATAAAACTGCCTTCCTTGATGTCATAACCAAAAATTATGCATGCAGTAGAATGAACTGAAGGACTTTCTTCTCAAGTTTTGATAGTGTAGACCTGGCCTCTCTGACCTTCATTTTTGTGACAGATGAAAAGAAGCTTGAGTTGTTGAACAGAAAGTCCACCTTTCATGGTTGTTATAGATTACCTCAAAACATGCAGATACTGTCCATTTAGTATGTGAAACGAGATGTGGATCCTGAATTTGTTCATCGTGAGTACGCAACAAGGTAACCAGATTTAGAAACAAAAGAAACAAGTTCTTAGAAACACAAGCAAACGCAAAAACTACGGGCCTACACAAGGCTCTTCAAGCCTTAGCATCAGGAAACGGAGTCGTGATGCACAAAAGCTTGCTATTAGAAAAAGGACAAGAAAGTTCAAGCAAAAAGTTTACAAAAAAGGTCAATTATGTACAATCTCTAGCCTGTCATCGTTAACTTGTTGCCGCTGGCTCAGCGAGATTTTCACTAGCTCGTTTCATGACATTGAAAGGCTGTCATTAATTAAGATCTTCACTGGTTAGCCTACGTAGCTTGTTGATGATTTCTATATCATCAACCCAATCCACTCCATTTTCCACATCGCCTATGGAGTTCCCATAGGCTGAATTGTACGCCACTCATTCTTGAGTATCTAATCACTCAAGAATGATTGGCACCTGTGCACCAGGAGTGTAGCCGAACGGCGGCAACTCCTTTTAAGCCATGTACCCCTCCTGCGTTGTACATTGTACCCGGGCAAGCTCCGCCTTCTATTCGTGTATATAAGGAGCCCCCGACTGTAATATAGATCGCTCTCAACTAATCTACGCCAGTGTGAATAAATATTCCACACAACTTCGTCTACCCTAATTCACTTGGTACACACCAAATTGGTGCATCGGCCAGTGAACTTCCTTGCAATTCCTGAGCGACTCCTTTACCTAAGGAACGGGAATTCAAGGCCTAAGACCCGCGTGGCAGGCACTCCACTAATTAATTGAACCCTTCTGAGCTCTCTCTTCGTGAGACGACCAGAAGTTAGTAAAAGCGTTAGTTGGCAGGCTTCTTCACTGATTAATTGAACCCCTCTGAGCTCTCTCTTCGTGAGACGACCAGAAGGTAGTAAAAGCGTCAACCGAAGAAATTTCACTGGTCAATTGAACCCCTCTGAGCTCTCTCTTCGTGAGACGACCTGAAGGTTGTAAAAGCCCCAGCTGAATACTTCTCCACTAATTGATTGAACCCTTCTAAGCTCTCTCTTCGTGAGACGACCAGAAGGTAGTAAAAGCGTTAGTTGGCAGAAAATCACTGATTAATTGAAACCTTCTGAGCTCTCTTCCCGTAAGACGACCAGAAGTTAGTAAAAGCGTCAGCTCAAGAATTCTCACCGGTTAATTGAACCTTTCTGAGCTCTCTTCCCGTAAGACAACCAGAAAGTAGTAAAAGCCCCGGTTGAAGAACTTCTCACCATTGATTAATTGAACTCTTCTGAGCTCTCTTTTCGTAAGACGACTAGAAGTTAGTAAAAGCGTCATTTGGTAAGACAAACACCACTGCAAATTGAACATCTCTGTGCTCTCTTTACATAAGACGACCAGAGATCAGTAAAGGACCAGTTGGCAATAGCTAACAAGTTCAAAGTTCATCCAGAATTTGAGCTTCAATTGCTATCAATCCTCACGGTACAGGTTCAACATACCTCACCGTCCAGTACAGCGTACAAGCCAACCAGGCACGCTTGCTGACAGCTAGTAGAAGCTCGGCACACAATTGCCAGCTCACTAGAAGGCTTCCTTGCACCCAGTAAGGACAGCTATTACAAGAGGCCAGCCTTGCTGTCGTCCTCTAAAGTCTACAACGAGGATACGCATCTCACGTTGCGACGCTCGCCATCAGCACTCAACGGAAGCACCGAACACAACTTTGTGCGATACAAAAATGGCAGCGCTGCAAATCTTCAAATCGAAAATCAACAATGCCTGCGCACTTGTGAAATCATACGAGTCGGAAGTGAATAAAATTGACACACCATTCACTTTTCCTGTGGACAAGACTGAATGCGAAACATACATCAAAAGGAAAATGGGAGAAATCACGCATTTGCTCAATTCTCTCCAAAATGCCGTCAGACTTCAAGACACTCAAGTAAATGCCGCAATTGAATATGTCGGCTCAAGAAACGAGGAAAAAGAGAGAGAAAAGCTGATGACTGAGCTCAGCAAACACCTCGAGTTGGAGTCTCTTCCTCTGGAGGTCATGACAGTACAGTGGCAGAACAGGATCCAGTTCCGACAACATGAACTCAAGGAACAAAGTGCGCTTGTGCACTGCAGTACTCCGAGCATACCGAGTCAGCCAAGTAGCGAAGTTGGGCAAGCTGGAACTCCGGAACGCAACGAAAGGCAGATCAAAATTCGGAAGCCCATGCTTGAAATTCCGACGTTCTCAGGCAATTTCCGAGAGTTCAACAGTTTCTGGACAGTCTTTGAATCACTTATCCACACAGACGAGGAGTTATCCGACACGGACAAATTCTTGTTCCTGAAACAAGCTCTAAAGGGAAAAGCAGCAGCCACTCTAAGCTGCATCCCCGTTGTTGGAGAAAAATATGAGAAAGCAATAGAAATCGTGAAAAAGCATTTCGATCGTTCGGCCAACATGGCAGACATACTCATAAATGAGATCGAAAAGCTTTCACGGGCGTCTGATAATCCGAAGAGTTGCCGAGACACCTTTGAAGCAATCAACTCCAGGATCATCCATTTGGAACAAACAGGCATGAAGCTGAACGCAGACCGAGTTTGGCGTCGGATAATCTTCTCCAAATTTCCCGAATCCATTTGTACGACCGCCATCCAAAAAGAAGCGATACAAGATGATCCCTTTGATGTTGGCGAAATCCTAAATGCTATCGATGGCATTATTTCACTGCGGGAAACCACTTCGCTTACAACGGAAACTCTTTTCCCAACCAGTCATCGCCAGGACGCTCAACAAAATGGAAGGAGCAACAGAACAAGATGGGGAGAAGAGAATCACTTTTCGAAACCAAAACGTCTGTGTTTATGTGGGCAGTCGCATTCGCCCTATACCTGCCAAAGATACACCACCCCGGAAGCACGACGCCTAGAAGCAAGAAATCAAAGAGTATGCTGGAGGTGTTTTGCTAAGAATCACACTTCGAAGGACTGCACAATTATTGGAGTGTGCCCTAAATGCAAAGACTCACACCATGGATCTCTCTGCCTCTCAGACGCAAAGAAGCAAGACAACGGGTACCTTGCAGTCTCACGTCGACCTGCAAATATGGATCGGCAACCAACGCTACCAAATCGACCACCGCAACCCTCCAATCAACGCAACCGACCTAAGACGAACGAAGTACGAGCCGCACAAAATTCACAAAATGGACGTGAAATCTCTGTTGTGGACAAAGCCCCACTCCTTCACAACCAGTGCGTACTTCAAATTGCAACAGCGATGATTTTCAATGAAGAACAGTGGGACTATCAACCAATAACAATACTTCTGGACTCAGGAGCTCAAAGAAGTTTCATCAAGTCGAACCTTAGCGAAACATTCAAGCTTCCAATCGTCCGAACAACGTCGTTCACCACATCCGGAATGGGTGAACTGCAAGAAGTTTTCAACTCAAATGAGGTTTTGATTACCTTGAAGAGTTTACGAGGACCTAAAAAACTGAAGAAGATGTCTGTACACACCAAGCAAAAGCTCACGACCAACCTGGATACAGCACATCTCACTGAGGCGGATCTTCTATACATTTCAAAGGAGAACTTGGACATAGCACAGCAAACGCTTGCAAGAACCAGCGTCTCGCCTGATATCCTCATTGGCCAGGACATACTTAACACTGTCATAGACCATACTGCTCCAGTACTGACACTTCCTTCGGGACTAATTCTCACTCCTACCGTTTTCGGATACACAATATCCGGAACAAGCCTGGTTTCGACAACAGCAAGCACAACAGAAGTTTATGGAAGCTCGCTTGTGGTAGCAACCCCAGCAATCTCACCAAGAGAAAACTACAAGCAGGACATCAAACACCTTTATGAGCTTGAGTCGCTGGGACTAAAAACCGAAAACGATCCCGACGAAGCATCTATAATCAAATTCATGGATGACTACAGAAAAACTATCAGCATCAGAGAAGGCACAATTACAGCAGGATTCCCCTTCAATGAAAACGTTGGCAAACTCAAGGACAACTTCAACATTGCCTTTCGCCGGCTGCAGGCTCTCCTTCGGACACTACGAAGCGACGACAAAAAGCTTCAGCTCTACAACAGCACCATTGAAGACTATATCAAAGAAGGAATCATCGAGGAATGTACTCTACAACCAGCAGGAGTAACATCCTTCTACCTTCCACATCGACACGTATGGACACCTGGAAAGACAACCGAACTTCGGATTGTCTTCGATGCTTCATCCCACGGAAGAAACGAGCTTAGCCTCAACGACGTCGTCTTTGAGGGGACATGCTCTCACGCCTCTCATCCATGAAATTCTACTGCTCTTTCGGACATACAAACATACAATGGTAGCGGACATCCAAAAGGCTTTTCTACAAATACGCCTTCCCGAAAACCATCGAGATGCAACAAGATTTCTGTGGATAAAGAATCTGAATATGCCGGCCGAAGGCAATAACGTCAAATACTACCGCTTCTGCCGGGTTCCCTTTGGAATTAACGCAAGCCCAGCTATATTGAATCAGTCCATACTCAAGCACATTGAAGAGCAGGATACTCCGATTACAAAGGAACTATCTAAGTCTCTCTACGTTGACAATGTGTTGTTAGAAGGCAACAACCCGCAAGAGCTTATAGAGAAATACATCGCTTCAAAAGAGCTCTTCTCTTCTATCGGAATGAACCTCCGCGACTACTTGTCAGATTCTGCCGAAGTAAACGCACAAATCAAGGACTTGGATAGAGCAAAAAGCTGCGAACTCAAAGTGCTCGGAATCAAGTGGAAAGCTGACGATGACACCTTAATCATGGAATGTGCAGACAAAGAACAAATCAAGGTCACTAAAAGATCTGTACTCAGCCAAATAAACGGATTCTGTTTCGACCCGCTTGGACTGCTTACTCCCTTGATGATACCGGCGAAGATATTCCTGCAGGATATACACAAGCAAAAGTTAGGATGGGACACAATTCTCCCAGAAGAACAAATCCAGAGATGGAAAGCAATTAAGAAAGATATCGCCGGATTCAAGAAAGCCATACCACGCACAGTGCTGAACAAGACTCCCGAGGCCAAATATACGCTTTCTGTATTTGTTGATAGTTCCAAACGAGCTTACGCCTGCTGTCTTTATACGACTACATCAACGAAGAATGGTACGAAGAACACATCACTCTTTACGGCAAAAGCGAAAGTCGCGCCTATCAAGAAGGAACAAACTATTCCGAGACTAGAACTGCTGTCAATATTTCTCGGACTAACTGTAGCCGAAACAACCATGTCAAAATGCGGAATAAACTTCACAGAAGTTAACCTGTTCAGCGACTCAACGATCGCACTATCATGGATAGCTAGCAACAAAAAGCTTCCACCAATTGTAACCACACTGGTTCAGAAAATCAGCTTCGCCGCAGAAAGGATCAGAGAAACAGCCAAACTTAACTTCTTCCACGTCCCAACGGAAGAGAATGCCGCGGATTGTGCCACAAGAGGAATTAACAAGCAAGATTTCGCTGCTTGCAGGTGGTGGAAAGGACCAACTTGGCTCAGTTACCCCAACGAGGAATGGCCAGCACGTCCCATCAGTGACGTCAAAGACATTGACGATGACGAATGCGAAATGCTCATTCAATATACTACAGAGGATCCTAACAAAAGCGAATCCGACTGGCCAATTGATACAATAAGCAGCTATCCCAGATTGAAGAGAATTGTGGCATACTGTCTACGTTTCATCCGCAAGGCAAGCAAAAATACCCGCTTCAAGATCGCAGATGAAGATCAAGTGACAAGCCGTTCGCCAAATGCAGCTGAAGTTATCCTTGCTGAAAAGCAAATTGTCTTGCAAGAGCAACGGATTTACGGCACAGCTCTCGTCTCTAAAAACAAACAGTTCAAGACTGTGTTCGACAGCGATGGAATTCTACGAAAGTGTGGACGCATACAACGTGCTGAAATCCAGTCAGAGATAGCTAATCCCATGTATATACCTAAACAAAGTGTACTGGGACTTAGGATCGCCGACTACATCCACCGAGACTTGGCTCACTGCGGAAACAACCAGCTTTTATGCGAGCTTCGACAGCGATTCTGGATACCGAAAGACAGTGCTTTGCAAGAAAGTTCTGCGAAGTTGCATTACTTGCAAGAAATTCAATTCGTCACCCTTCACGTATCCAGATATGGGCCCACTTCCAAGAGAACGCGTGACTCAAGCAAAACCATTCACCTACACAGGAGTCGACTATATGGGACCGATACTAATCAAGGCGCCAAATGGACAAGATGAGAAGCGCTACGTAGCACTATACACATGCCTAGTCACTCGGCTGATACATCTGGAAGTGGCTACAGACCTCTCCGCAAAAAGCTTTCTTCTCACATTCAAAAGATTCATCGCACGACGAGGAGTACCAGAAAAGATCATTAGTGACAATGGAACCAACTTCCGCCTCAGTGAACTGATACTCAGCAACAACGTCAATAATGACGATTCCGACCATTTATCACTCTTCCTTGCCGAACACCGCATCAGCTGGTACTTCATTCCTCCAGCTTCACCATGGATGGGAGGAGTTTGGGAAAGAATGGTTGGACTAGTGAAAAGAGCAATGCAGAAGACTATCGGACGACGGAAATTAACAGACGAACTTCTTCAAACGTCGTTATGTGAAATCGAAAGCATCGTCAACTCAAGACCATTGACTCACATAGGCGAAGATGATCCTTCTTGCCAAGTCTTGAGACCAATGGACTTCATCTATAAGGACGTTCGGCTTGGAAGCACTCAACTTACACCCGCCGACGATGATGTACAGGATCCAGATTACCGGATAAGTCCAGAACTCTCATCACAAAAGGAAGAAAACAGCTCTTCTGGAAACCGAGAAGATAACGAAAAAGTTCTGGAGTGTTTGGAAACACGACTACCTCCTTGAACTTCGCGACCGTCACCATGTTTTCAAGAATGGAAGAACCACAAATCGCAAACCAGAAGTTGGAGACGTCGTACTGCTTGACGAAGACTCACAATTGAACAGAGGACACTGGCCCATGGCTGTTATAACACAACTCGTACCAAGCAAAGATGGAGAAATCAGAAGCGCAATTCTAAGAACCACATCTGGAAGAGAGATTCAAAGACCTCTCAATCGCATGGTTCCCCTAGAAATTCGTTCAACGATAGAAAACGAATATGAGAGACAGGATCCAACGCCACAAAAAGGAGGAATAGTGGCCAAGGTTAGAAAAGCGCTCAGAAAGAAACCTACAACTGCACCTGAACCTCGCAAGCAACCACAGAGAGCTGCGAAAAAGCCTGTAGACTACGCATCTTCTAATTCCTCCACCATAAAGAGAAGCGTTTCACAAATCAGCAAGTCAGTGATGATAACAATATGCCTGACAGCTCTTCTTTTCATTGATACGGCATCCGCAAATGTGCTATCCTGCTCTGAACATGGAGTGAAAGTCAACACGACTTCGGAATCACAATCACAACTATGTCTCAACTACAAGGATTGTCTAAAAATTTCGACGAAGAAAGGAATAAACGAAATAGCACTCCCGACAAAGTACCGCACAACAGAACCTCGAGTTCAATGGCGCACAATGATCGGAGCAACACAGTACTCCGACACCATTATTTGCCCACCAAGAGACATTTGCGACATGGTCAAATGCATAGTTTGTGCAGACTTGCTTCGGAATCCACATTGCGCCCCCAACACGGCGATAGCAATCACAGCAGTTTGCGCATACCTTATGATGCTGCTTATCTGGCTCATTTGCTGCACTGGACTTCGAGGAAAACAGCTTCTGTGCCGAACTAACGAGAACGACATGCGAACGGAAAATCACGTTGCTTCAGCGAATGATCGACTTTCCGAGCTGCTAGGGAGGGAATCCCGATCCCTACCAATCCAATCGAAGATGGTCACGTTTGTGGCTTTTGCGACATGTCTCATCACAGGAGTCACTTCATGCCAATACACTCACACACTCACGTCAAGGAACACCGTCTGCACAAAGATCAACAACACACTCAGCTGCCGCTACACTATCGAAAACAGAATAACTCTGAGTGAGCACCGACCACAAGCCTGCTTCAGGATTCAACATGATAACAAGACAGTTGGCAGCATGGAGATACAACTTCAACATGTCGTACTCCAGTGCAATCCCGTAGTCTTATTCTACACCAGAGATGCCGAGATAGTGACCGAGTCAGCAAAACGATGCCATTTCTCTGGATCATGCTCATCTAACACATGTGCTCACACAAGCCAACGATCCTACATACCTGAACTTCACAACACCTACGAATTTCCTGGATACTCAAGGTGCACCTCGTCATGTGGAAGCATCGGATGTGGTTGCCTTCTACCTCTACCTGGATGTCTCTTCTCCCGCTCATATGGAAAACCGCAAAGTGCAACAATTTACCAAGTGTTCCACTGCCCAACTTGGGAAGAATCAGCAATCATCAAATACACTTACACAAGTGTGACTGGACGAAGAGAAACGAACACTGCAACAATTACGGCGCAGACCACTCATACTCAAAAGGACGCTAACCTAACATTGGAGTTCGTGACAACGCCGGCAATTCCGCTGCTGAGCTCTGTGTTTTTACAAGCAGTCAACACCACCAAAGCGGAGACTGCCTTGGTCGACAAAGACGACGTATTTGCTCTCAGATGTCCAACGATGGAAAGCTCGAAAAACCTCTCCCTTTGCCATATAGAAGACACTTGCAAGTGCTACCCGACGGATGACCAAGCTAACTGTATCTGCAAGAACACGAACATATCGGATCTGACGACATCGATGGATAGCAGACTGCCACTCTCTTCCTCATTCTTACATCTACAAGAAGCCCATGGAAGAGTACTTGGAGTCAGCCACAAATCCATAGTCGACGTCACTATCAGCACGACTGCGGAATGGAATACAGCGAGTGTTGTCAACAATGAAGATTGCGACATCACAGCCTCACCGATTCAAGGATGCTACAACTGCGTGACCGGCGCACGACTTACCTTCTCTTGTCATTCACCGCACCCGACAATGGTGGAGATAACGTGCACGCAGAACATCTATGCTGCTTTCTGCAATGAAAACACAGTGCAAACAGTTGCTCTACTTCAATCGACCGTCGCTAACTATGTCGACAGTTGTTCACTGAGATGCGGAACGAAAAGCCACGTATTCAACATCTCTGGTATCCTGACATACCACCCAAACGAAAACGGAGTACTCTTCACGAATGCTAGCGAGGAAGCTTCATACGTCAACGTCTACAACTATCCCGACATTGGACACATCATCAGCATCGCCCTCTCGTCATGGAAGATGCTCGTCGTGGCTACCATCGCAATCATAGCCGCGTTAGCCTTCACCATTTTTTGTGTCCCAAAAATCATAAAATTGTCATTAATGTGCGTGTAATTTTTCGTAATTTTAATATACGATTTAATTCATCCTATCACCATTGCTTGTTCATTATAACGATTACGTGTATTTTTATCAACTTCACCTGATTTTACTCATTTCTTTTCCTAGTCGCCCGGAGTGTTGATGATTTCTATATCATCAACCCAATCCACTCCATTTTCCACATCGCCTATGGAGTTCCCATAGGCTGAATTGTACGCCACTCATTCTTGAGTATCTAATCACTCAAGAATGATTGGCACCTGTGCACCAGGAGTCTAGCCGAACGGCGGCAACTCCTTTTAAGCCATGTACCCCTCCTGCGTTGTACATTGTACCCGGGCAAGCTCCGCCTTCTATTCGTGTATATAAGGAGCCCCCGACTGTAATATAGATCGCTCTCAACTAATCTACGCCAGTGTGAATAAATATTCCACACAACTTCGTCTACCCTAATTCACTTGGTACACACCAAATAGCTCAAATAGTAGACATCTTTGCCTGAATTGCGCGCTCTGACACCAAACGCCCTGCGCGCCGGTCAAATGTGCATTGGGTCATGGGGCGCGCTCTTCGCAGCCATTTGCAACTATAGGTACGAGTATCACTACTTTGTTATCCGTGCTAACGATCAGTTCTTGAGCCACCATATTAATGAAGAATGATCTATATGGCAAGAGAGGAAAAGTAGATCATCGCACGTTACAACTACACTTGTTTTTGAGATTCTCCAGATTCCAAAATAGTCGAGTAAACTTACTTGCTCTACTTTAGCACTTGAACAACTCCGATTTTATAAACATTCGGGGTATGATGCTGCCTTAATAAGTTTTACTTCGTTATGAACACATATATGTATGCACAGGAACCAATAGTGAGTGCACAATTAGCGGACTCCCATGGCAAATGTTCTGCGCGCCGGTCGAATTCGCACTGAATCATGGGACGCGACTTTCGCAGCCATTTGTAACTTTAGGTACGAGTCCGAGAAGTTGACGAATGCTTCAGGTGTAAAGGATTCTCCGAGTTTTTAATCTGTTTCTAACTTATTTCGCAGTCGATTTAATTCTAATCAAAACCTTTCAAAGACTTCGCAGACGGTCATCAATATTAGAGCGTGGCTGAGTTACATACCGAAGAAGCAGATCTTTTCAGCATTGATCAAAGTTTTTCTCTTTGTTGCGTTTCCGCACTGAACCGAGAAAACTGTTTTGACCTTAGTTAATCTGCATGAAGAACCTACTAAATTTGCGTCCTCAATTGCATTCGATTTTTGCTATACGCACACAAAATCAGAAACTGTCAAAGAATTCTAAGCGCAACCCTTCTCGCAGCAGGCGTTATGGCGATCGCAACGCTTGTTCTGATGGATCCGAAAGACGTGCAGGAAATTACTTATGTTATTTGCAGTATTCAAAAATCTGAAGTTATTCCGGTTGAAAACGAGACATTTTCCGCAAAATTGGCCGATTTTTCAACATTCTCGGAAAGATATCTTCGAGTGACGCTCTGTATGATGAGCTCTCGAAAAAGAACCGGTATATTTTAAAAAAACTATCCAGTATGAGCTCTCCGGAGCTTAGTATGTCTGGATTAATCCTGCGCAAACAGGCTGACTTTTGAGTTCACCTTTTTCCCTTTTGTGCATATTGGCGGCTTAAATAAAGTGTTGAGAGGTGGGCGAAGCGCGTTTTCTGGGCACAGCGCATGCCCTGAAGGCTAGGACTGGGGCTGGTTAAATACTCAATACCAATAAAACGAAGACCACTGCCTTTAAAATTTATTTGCTACAGTTATCCTGCCACACTACCTCCAAAAATGTTTTGATCATACGTGTGCAAAGGGGGAACATGGCCTCTCCAGGGTGAAGGGGGTATGAGGGCCGCTGGGAGGGGGGGGGGGAGCGGCCGCGGCTGTGGAGGTGCGTCGACCGGGGGGGGGCAATGTTCGTCATCATTGCTTCTCATGTTCTTTTCATTCACATGCATCAAGTGAAATTGTTGCCAAACCGGGTTAAAGTCGAATATTGGGTTTTACCCCCTGAAATTCGAAGAAGAAAAACTGGAATAAGTGAGACTATGAAACCAACATTTTAAGCAAAATTATAAAACTATCGGCATTATCAAAATCAAATTTAGTGACTTATTATGATTGTCAAAACTTACTTGCAGGCTCATGAGAAGTACATCGGAAATTTGCCGCCTATTGTTCACTTCTAGAGAACGATGAAAAAGCCTGGAGAAAAATTTACGTGTGAAGCCTTTGTGTACATACGTCAATGAAGTTATTACTCACATATTTGCTGAAATAGTAAATGAAATAATAAATGAACTTTGATGATTGGTGCGCAGTTGAATTGCATTCTTTTTAAGAGGTATAAATTTTCTAAACAGATGGCGGAATCGTGGAAAGTCATTGAGTGATTCCTTGAAGAGTCATTGTTCTAACTTTTAATATTATTTCTAAACTCCGAAAGAGATCGTAACATTTGCGTAGAAAAGCAGGTGTAATAGAGGCACCTATTACATCCAAGACTTTGTGTAATCAAGGTTAGTCTTACTGTCAAAATCCTATAGCTACGAGGATCGTGGAATTCTACAATCCGCCTACTTGGACGATGATAAGGACGAGGAAGGACAGCCAGAGATGCATTTTTCTACGTTGGAACACTATACAAGAGGAGAAGGACAATCGTATATGATCACTGCGTGATTATTCTGAAAAAAATTTTGTTTTACATTGAAGAAGATTGAGAAATATAAAAGATCTTAGAAGGAGAACTCAGTCATAATTAGCCTACTCTAGTTTAGAAGTCTACTTTCCATCCGCTTTCAGAAAACATACAGCTTGCCAGGAAAAAGAGGGGTTCTTGCTAAATAGAAATAGTTTTAGTCATTTTTTCAAAATTGTAGAATTTTTCTATAAAAAATTGTAGATTTTTGATATGAGAAGATAAGAGAGTCTCTAGCCATATATTGAATTACTCTTGTTTAAAGCTTCCAGAAAATGTATAGCTTACCAAGGAAGAAAAGATTTTCCTGTACTGTGAAGGTGGTCGCAATTGTTTTTCGAAAATTAAGGAAATTTTTTATAAAAATTCATAACTTTACTACACGAAAAGCTAGAAGAGTGCTTTGCACTCTATTGGAATCCCCTCGTCTTCCGCTTTCAGGAAATATATAGTTTGCCAGGAAAAAAGAGGATTTTCCTATCGGGTGAAAGGGGTCGCAGTCTATTTTCCGGAATTAAACCAATTTTTAAATTCAAAAAATCATAACAATTCTATATGAGAAGCTGGGAGAGTGATTAGGTGTTTATTGAATTCCTCTCGTCGTCCGCTTTCAGAAAATATATAGGATGTAGGGAGAGGGATGCTAAAAGTACCTGGTGAAAGGGGGAGGAACATGGTATAATGGAAATCTTCCTTTCTGTACTCAAAAAGCGTCGTTTTAAGGAGCTAAAGGAACATGCCCATTATACCATGTTCCTCCCCCTTTCACCAGGTACTTTTAGCATCCCTCTCCCTACATCCTATATATTTTCTGAAAGCGGACGACGAGAGGAATTCAATAAACACCTAATTACTCTCCCAGCTTCTCATATAAAATTGTTATGATTTTTTAAATTTAAAAATTGGTTTAATTCCGGAAAATAGACTGCGACCCCTTTCACCCGATAGGAAAATCCACTTTTTTCCTGGCAAGCTATATATTTCCTGAAAGCGGACGACGAGGGGATTCCAATAGAGTGCAAAGCACTCTTCTAGCTTTTCGTTTAGTAAAGTTATGAATTTTTATAAAAAAATTTCCCTAATTTTCGAAAAACAATTGCGACCACCTTCACAGTACAGGAAAATCCTTTCTTCCTTGGTAAGCTATACATTTTCTGGAAGCTTTAAACAAGAGTAATTCAATATATGGCTAGAGACTCTCTTATTTTCTCATATCAAAAATCTACAATTTTTTATAGAAAAATTCTACAATTTTGAAAAAATGACTAAAACTATTTCTATTTAGCAGGAAAAACCCCTCTTTTTCCTGGCAAGCTGTATGTTTTCTGAAAGCGGATGGAAAGTAGACTTCCAAACTAGAGCTAATTATGACTGAGTTCTCCTTCTAAGATCTTTTATATTTCTCAATCTTCTTCAATGTAAAACAAAATTTTTTTCAGAATAATCACGCAGTGATCATATACGATTGTCCTTCTCCTCTTGTATAGTGTTCCAACGTAGAAAAATGCATCTCTGGCTGTCCTTCCTCGTCCTTATCATCGTCCAAGTAGGCGGATTGTAGAATTCCACGATCCTCGTAGCTATAGGATTTTGACAGTAAGACTAACCTTGATTACACAAAGTCTTGGATGTAATAGGTGCATCTATTACACCTGCTTTTCTACGCAAATGTTACGATCTCTTTCGGAGTTTAGAAATAATATTAAAAGTTAGAACAATGACTCTTCAAGGAATCATTCAATGACTTTCCACGGATTCCGCCATCTGCTTAGAAAATTTATACCTCTTAAAAAGAATGCAATTCAACTGCGCACCAATCATCAAAGTTCATTTATTATTTCATTTACTATTTCAGCAAATATGTGAGTAATAACTTCATTGACGTATGTACACAAAGGCTTCACACGTAAATTTTTCTCCAGGCTTTTTCATCGTTCTCTAGAAGTGAACAATAGGCGGCAAATTTCCGATTTACTTCTCATGAGCCTGCAAGTAAGTTTTGACAATCATAATAAGTCACTAAATTTGATTTTAATAATGCCGATAGTTTTATAATTTTGCTTAAAATGTTGATTTCTTAGTCTCACTTTTTCCAGTTCCTCATCGGCCGTGGGTGAAGGGGGTCAGCTAGGTTCCGGCCCTGGGGTGAAGGGGGTAGGAACACATTATCGCCTTTTCACATGTATGGTTTTGATATGACAGCAACGTTCTTCTGCAGCGCAACTTTTGGCACTGGAGCGTGGAACTCATCACCCTGCCTCACAAAAGCAGCGCTGAAGATTCATTGTGAATCTCGTATATATAGATTTTGGAAGAAACTGAAAGGGGAGAAAAGTGGCAATGTTTTGGGGAATCAAAGTTCTTGCGATTTTCTTGTACTATTAAAAACGTATCGTCGATTCGTTGGCCGTGCGGACTGCTCAACCGCTGCGGACCACGCGCGGCGCGGTTAAAATTTTGCGAGAGCACGATTTTAACAATGGTGAGTTTGTATTGGAGCAAGCGTTTCACCTCGCGGCGCGTGCTCTGCGGTTATGTCCACTCCGTACTGTCAACGAATCGACGATACAGTAGTCAGAACCTATCCTTGATATTACCAGTTTAAATTTAGGTTCCATTAATTATTTAACACTACTATACACACGAGAGGTTTATCAGTGATAGTAAGTGAATTATCAGGCTTCAGCACTTATACCAAATACACAGCATAGAGAATACGAAGACAAATAAGTGCAATTAGATTATCGCAAATGCGTAACTAACATGCCATGACTTAAACGATAGGTTCACTTATTTTCGAGCTCCTTGGATGCTTTCGCAGATGTGTGGTCCTTATCATTGTCAGAGTGAGAGCAGCCAGGTTCTCCTTGCTTTTCGGCTGCATTTTTGCAGGGGTTATTTTCAAGTTTTTGCGTCTTTGTCTCCATCACCTTCTTCTGCATTAGATATTAATCGTGTTTTTATAGAAGCTCTGAAGCTGCGTCCAGAGTTACGCGGTGCCAACTCCGTGCCAGCACCATGCAGCGCCCACGTGGGCGCGCCACGTATCGATCGATCCTTGGCACTGGAGCAGCGCTAGCTCGGCAGGGCAACTTTGGACACAGCCCGAAAGTATGATGTGTATCTACCTTTTCCTCCTCCGTCTGCGGTGGAAGTAAATGAGTAAAAACACCTCTTCCGATGATCGTAGTTCCCTGACGAATTGCGAAACGCTGTTTGGGTCGGATTGACACTTTCTCATCCAAATGCAGTACAATTCTGAATTTATTTCATCTTGATCTATGAGAAAGAGCAAAATACCTTGCAAGTTACCTGGCTGTCAATCCACGCTGGATAATTATTCCATGAGTCATGAGCAGTCCGAACCTCACCCAGTTGTCTGAGATTATCTCTACGACGCTGCCGTCATCAGTGGGTTTGACAGCGCAGAACTGCAAAGAAGGCGCTTCGCACTCAAAAAATTCCCGAGTCATCAAAACCATCAAAATGTCATTTGGGGCCGCATGCACTAACATCCCTGCGGCGAGGGGAGCGGCGTCCCCAATGATGAAAAAGCCGCAGCGGCGTCCGCACGCGGTCCCTTCATAACGGGGGACGCCGCTCCCCTCGCCGCAGAAATGTTAGTGCATACGGGCCTTGGAAAAATGGGAGGGAGGAATGGGAGCTCAGGAAAGTTTCCTGGTAAGATGATGCGTCGTCAATTTTGAAATATCAAATCACTCAAAGTCCATCTATCGACGTAACTTTTATGTTCGCGGAATCGTATAAGACTATTAAACTCGCAAAAAGCCCATTCCCATACTTACTATGCTCTGTTTCCAGGCGAAGGCGAATGCGTATATAAGTAGCGTGCGCAAGCGCGGATAGGCAGCTTTTGGACTAAAATCATTGTACACACTCACACACTGATATAGGTATTATTGGCTCACAATCTGCCGCGCGAGCGTATGCGGTGCGTTTTCCATGTCAAGACGTGAAGGCTATGCTTGACGAAGGCGCAGAAGCAGCTACTTGAGCGGGCGCGAACGCGGCGCGCGCTTTCCTCACCGTTCCAAATCCTGCGCCTCATGCGCTCTGCGGCTAATAAAGCAGCGTTGGCGCCCAAAGATACTGCGCCTTCGTCATGCAGCAGCCTCTAGTTGAACTAATTCCCGGTTAATGTTTGCGATCCTCGTCCTCGCGCCAATGTGTGAGCCGATTATACTCGACCGTCGCGCTCGCTTCCGAGTCGCGGAGATAGGACATCCACCCTCGTCGGGAACTAGAGCTTAGCACAACTTCGAAGTTGCTCTAGAGAATCCGAAATGGGCCAGATTTCAATATATCCCATCAAAATCTACCCGCCTGAGCTTCAATCTTGTCTGAAGTTTCCAACCGAGCTTGTGACGATCGCGCTCCACTTCGCCAAACTTGATTTGATCTTCCGCGGGGTCTGAAACAAAATAATGTCTCGACTATTGAGTAATGCCATACAAAGCTGAGAATTGAAAAGGGGACGGGGAAGCACAATGTGCTTTGCATTTGGTGCAGTTCACAGGTGCGATAAGGTGAGAATGACTCCTCCAAGGTGAAGGAGGTCACAGTGGTCGCAGCCCCTCCAGGGTGAAGGGTGTTTCACTTGGTAGAAAAATTATAGAATGTCGACGGGGGGGGGGGGGAGGGGAGGGGAGCCATGGTGTTTTCTCATCATTTTTCCTAGTTAAAGTTCATAACCTATTCCTAACCATCACTGGTTATTTTTTTTCTAAAATGTGAACCGATGTGCTGCTGGATTAGCATAATTATATTTTTGACCAGCACCTTGTATTTTTTTAACATTTCCTTTTCCTTTTTTACATCACCCTGCCTGTTTTTGGAATTACCATAGAAGATGTGCATGCGAGAACATTTGTTTCGGAAAGAGTTAGACAATTCTTAAACATTTACGAATAATTTTAAAAGAAGAAATCCGTAATTTCTGTAGATGAACAGCAACGTCAGCAAGAGAAATGTTTTTAAAACCACCTTGTTTTCCGCTTTCAGAGAATATAAAGTTTGCCTGGAGTCCGTTGAAAAACTGCCTGGTGAAGAGTGTGGGTAGTGATTTCTGATTATTTACAAGTTTTTAGGATAGAAAAATCCGTAACTTCTGAAGATGAACCTCATTTACATCCTGATGGTTGCCCTTAGAACCGTCTTGTCCTCCGCTTTCAAAAAAAAAAAGTATACTTTGCCTGGAGTTCGTTGAAAAAAGTGCCTGGGTGAAGGGTGTCCTAGTGATTTCTGAAGATTTTCGAGTCTTTAACATAAAAAAATTCATAACTCATGTAGGTGAACATCTTGTACGCCGTGATGGTCACCATTGGAACCGTCTCGTCCTCCGTTTTCAGAAAATATATACTTTGCATGGGGTCCGTCATAAAAAGTGCCGGGTGAAGGGTGGGTGAGACTTTTGTAATGGGAGACTTTTATAATGCTCAAGTACAGGTTTCTTTACCATTATAAAAAGATGTCTACTCGAGCACCCCCATTAGCCGCGCCGCGCTTGGTGTTCAAAGCGACGCGTGGGCAATTAGGTTTTATGGGGCCTATACATATATCTCCTTTGCTTAACCTTACCTCACTGTTGAATTTCTCTCGGCTTTTCGTGAAGGGGGTCACTTTGGTCCCGGCTCGGCAGTGAAGAGGGGGTGAGGAAATTCTCACACTATCGCACCTGTGGTGCAGGTAACAGGATTGCTCAGGCTGCATATAAAGTTGCCCGTGTGCCAGCGCCGTGCCAGCGCCATGTGAAAGCACCTTCTACTGATCAATGGTCGGCGCTAGTACGCCGCTAGCACGACGCTAGTCCGGCGCTGGCTTGGGCAACTCCGGACGCCCTAATGTTACTCTCGGCATTAATCAATTGTCACTCGTTGACTAACTTCGCTTCGCTAAATTGATGTGCCCATTCGTCCACCTTAGCGCTCCACTCGTCAACTGGGACAGACACCCAGGCTTCAAGAAATTTACTGACATCAAAATTATCGCCCATCTTCTTCCTGCAACGAAAATTCAAAGACATTGGCAACACTTAGAATATTCGTGAGATAAGTGCTAGTCACTACTAGAGATTCTCGGAGAAAATTGCTAGATTTGTGAAAAGAGATTTTCAGATCGACCCAAAAATGAGTTATTGGAAGTCATTTCCCGTATAAAGTGTATGAGAATTTAGTCAAATTCGTCCGGTTCCTGTATTTTCTGTGATTCCAGTGATCCCTCGTGCATCAGAAAAAACGTTTGAAGGCTGTTGTCGAGAAAGGCGCAGAAGCCACGCTTTCATTTGATTTGACCCGCTTGGCGGCTGGAAGGCGGGGCTTCGTGACCTTATTAAGGGTAGGTAATGATCACAGGGCACGCGCGTGGGAGAGACGCCGACTGCATCGCGGGCGCGAGCAGCCTTAAAGGCAGCGTCCAGGCAGATCTGGACCTATGGAGATTTTACGTGGAAAGTACTTTTGGGGCCCTAACTCAGGCACTGCCCAAGCGGCAGCTCAGGTAGTGCTCTTACGGCTGAGATATTCCCCTCGAAACTGGACCCCGCGATCGTATTCGCATGGATTCATGGCAGTTTCGCGCCATTCACGCTTTGCGCCATGAATCCATGCGAAATCCGATCGCGGGGTCCAGTTTCGAGGGGAATATCTCAGCCGTAAGAGCACTACCTGAGCTGCCGCTTGGGCAGTGGGTGGGTGGGGGAACGAAAGCCGCCAGTTTGGGCCGCCTCCGCGGACTGCTGGTCCTGGAACGATACGCAACAACACTGCGAAAGGACCAGTTGGCCGCGAAAGGCGGCTCAAACTGGCGGCTTTCGTTCCCCTACCCGGCAGTGGGTTAGCTAGGGCCCCAAAATTATCCACGTGAGATCCGCATATGTCCAGACTTGCCTGGACGCTGCCTTTAGTTAGGTCACAAAGCACCCTTCCAGCCGCCAAGCATTGAATCGAAGGTTACCTAGTTATCGAAGGTTACCTAGTTAAGCGGACGCGGGCGCTGCACCATATGCATGATGCTGGAGGAACCGCGTCGCGCCTCTGAGCTTTGCGCCTTCGTCCGCCAGTGGCCTTTACCTTTGCGATGAAAGACTCAGTACTATTCCAGTATACCGACCCCAAAAATTAAAAATCTCGGATTTCGCTCAAACTCGGTATAGGGGGGTTATTTGATCCGCTGATGCCGAATATCATATTGATTCCGTGCGATAGCGCCAATTTCTTGGGTTACGGTGGGCGTACGGTAGAGGGCCATTACACAAAATTCTCTGAAACTCGGTGCAGGGGGCTTTTTTGACATGCTGAACAAGAATACGGTATTCATTTGTTACGATAGCTTTTCATTCCGAGGTTACGGTGGGTATACGGTAGGGGGTCTAAATCACAAAATGGTGTGGGACGATTCGTACCGTAAAAATTTCCACACAGGATCACCGCCGCGTGCGACACATCCTGCGGCGTTTGCCTAAGCTAAGCAGAGGGAGGAAATTTGCGGCGTGCGTGACCTGTTGAGACAAGTTAAAGTCGGTGCGGGCTGGTTATTGGACATGCTGCATGAATGTGATATTCACTCGGCAATGTCTTAGATTTCAAGCCTTGAATCTCGACTTAGCGGTAGTATTCGTAATGTATGCCCACCTTAACTTCGGAATGAGGCACTACCGTAACTAGTCAACATTATAATCGTGGTCGCATGTCAAATAACCCCACACGAAGTTTTAGCAAAAAACGTGATTTTGGCTCCTTACCGTATACCCACCATAACCCCGAAACGAGGAGCTTCCGTAACGAATGAATATCGTATTCGTGTTTAGCATGTCAAGTAACCCCCCTGCACCGAGTTCCAGAGAATTTTGTGATTTGATCCCTACCGTATACCCACCATAACCCCCAGAAAATGGCGCTACGGACGGAACCGATATGATATTCGGCATCGGCGGATCCAATAACCCCCCCCCCCCTATACCGAGTCTGAGCGAAATCCAAGATTTTTAAATTCTGGGGTCGGTATACTGGAGTAGCGCCAAGGACTCAATTGCGAATGAAACGATTCAATTTGTTTTGCTCTTGCGTTGAAGATAATGCGCAACCTCCTTCGATGCGATCATCAGCGCCACATACAGTCGAGTAGATTTCCTGCTTAATATAGTGTCCCTGCAGACGCGACAACGCTGGGGCGTCAATAAATGCCTTGCGAGTCCCCGGACTAGTGCTTTCCAGTGTTTTCTTTGCTTATTCTATGCTTTTTAGGTGATTCGTCGCAGATAAAGAAGAAAAGGGTAAGTTAGAGAGTACTTTCTGTTTTCTGAGAAGCTCTGTCATCGCCTATTCACAGATATGCACGTGGAAGCATTTCGCGTCAGCTTCTTCTCTATTTTTTTGTCACTTCATGTCTCTTTCTTCTTGTGAGGTACTTCTTTAAACGCTAGTAGGTTTTTACGATTGACTTTATGTCTTTATCACATGAAGTACTTGATTAAAATGCTATTTCTTGTGGATGAAAGCCGAAGTTGCTGCAAGACAAGCCAACTAGAGTTCAAAAAAAAAACGCCTCACAAGAAGGAGGAGGTTTGAAAGAAAAAGTGACAGAAGAAAAGGAAATGACAGAAAAAAAATAGACAAGAAGCTGACGCGAAATGCTTCCACGTGAATATCTGTGAATATGCGATGATAGAGCTTCTCAGAAAACAGAAACTACTCTTTAACTTACTCTTTTTCTCTTTATCAGCAACGAATCAAGTAAAAAAGCATGAAATAAGCAAAAAAAAAAACAATGGAAAACACTAGATCGGGGACTCGCAAGGCATTTATTGACGCCCCAGCGTTGTCGCGTCTGCAGGGACACTATATTAAGCAGGAAATCTACTCGACTGTATTACAAATGCGAAAAGGATCGAGGACTCACAGGAACCACGCAATAACGGGAGAAGTTGAAAGCACTTGAATCACGGATTACGAAACAAACATGGCTGAATACTCAGCCCACGCTAAGCAATCATACCATCACGCGCAGGCGTCATAAGTGGGTCCTAAAACGCTGAGCAAAGTGAAGCCGCATTATCAAAGCGATGTTCGTTTCTGAAGGGGTTAGAGTACAGAGCTTTTTGTGCCAGTAGGCAAAATTCGAAAAAAAACTGTTCTGGATTTATCTGCCATATAGAAGTGAGCATGAAATCGGACTATTGCTGCTCGTCACAATAACACTAAGGCGTTTTCTTAAACCCTTTGTATATATAATAATAAGTTTGATAAATATGAAGGAAATGTGGCAGGAAAGATAGAGAGATTCTTTATTTGAGATTCAACAAGCGCAGAATGTCTTCGAGGAGCAACTGTCGGTTCAACTGTTTATCGAAAAAGGTCCTTACAGTACTCCCCTCCCCCCCAAAATGTCAGCGACCGTTCGAGTTAGCAGCCGAAAAGGACATTCTTTATTCGCGAGGAAAAGTGCATCATTCGTTGTGCATGAGATAAAAGCACGAACTCAGTGTTTCCCTAGACATTCAGAATGGTTGAGTCTGCGGGCTAGTTGATGAATCAGATTTTGATGAAAATAAATTGGGAGAATTTAAGAAACCCAATGACATTCTATGTAGCGCAAAAATGTAGATAAAGCATACAGAATCGAAAATTGTGTTTAGCATGAATTTAAGTGCTAAAAAAGGTTCAGGTCAAGGAATTTTTTTTTCTGTAATCTTCCTTTTAGCTAGTTTGTGAAAAGTCTATGTTTCAGTCAGAAATGTGATTCAAAAATGCAGAAAATTTCAAAATAACGCTAACCTTAAAAGATGATAATTTGAGTGAGTACTGAGCTTCCAATGTTTGAAACTAAAATGAAGATGATCATGAATTTTTGGAATGAAATGAAGCGACACAAATAGGATGCTCTGACAGTTCTAGATAAGCTACAAAGGACCAAGGGTGGGGGGGGGGGGGCGGGAGGTGACGTTTCTTGAAATCCGCGCAAAACAATTCCAGTTGGTCGAAATGTTGAAAAAAATTATCTAGTTCATACTTATTGGGAGCGAACTTATAGAGCACACTGAGTAATTTTTACCATTCTCAAAATAGTTTATTACGCAAAAACTTTGAGTTACCCTATTTTCAGGTGTATAAGCCGCACTCATTTTGCTTTAAAGGCGAGCAGACACAGGCGTGCCGCCGCGCATATGTCTCTCGAAGCGGTCGCTTTATCGCATACTACTCTCACTTAACGCGCTCCATGATGACAGTCAGTCTTTTGGCGTGTTCGCCTTTAGAGTGAAAAGGGTGCGGCTTATACACCTGAAAATAGGGTATTTGTCTTTTTTTCTGTAAAGCGGATGCGGTGCAGGAGGAACCAAAGGCATGCCGCCTGTAGCCGTAGGAGACAATTAGGAGCGCGAGCGCTGTGGGTAAGATTTTGGCGAGGATCCAGGAAAACTTAGCAAGGATATCCATTAGAAATAAATCCTTATAACTCTTTTTGGAGTTAACTGCCAGATGTACGAAGGGCAGATTCGGAATCAGTATTGAAATGCGAATTTTTCAGTAGTACGCCTAGCGGATAGATAGACAACTCTGTCTCGCTACATGAGTTTTTTTTACCAAAGACTGAGCGTTCAAAATTCACCATCAAAAGTTGAGGAATTCCAAGTCCAATGTTGTGTGGAAGACTTAAGTGATTTTCTTTGGTGAAATTTCTGGATTTGAAGTTAAAAATAGGGAGTGGCAAAAATAATGTTAACTAGGTTGCTGATGAACTTTTGCTACTGTTTACAGCTTCGAAACGATTACCGACATTCTCAATAGCAAATCCCATGAAATCCCTAGTGTCAAAATTTAGAATTAGAATTAGGTTTGAAGTTAGAGACAAACTGCATATTACATCTTGACACAAGCCCAGATGTGTCTTTATGATATTTCGATTGTTTCGGTTCATTGACTCAAAAGGCAAACTATTCCTTTACCCAAAGAAATGAATTTTGAATAAAAATCCCTGTCTTCAACAATACAATTTGAAAGTTCGAAATTCACAAAAGAAGAAGTTCCTATAGGGATGGTTTTTCTTACCAGTACAATTCCCAATTTCAACTTACTTTTGGACTCAGTGTAAGCGCCTTCCAATCTGCATTACAAATCTGTTTTTCAAATTTTTCTAAGTCATCTCCAGGCAAAGTTATGAAGATTTGTTCCTAGAGGATGTCCTTGCCAAGTTTTCTTGGTTTCTTGCCAAAATATTCTCCATAGCGCTCGCGCTCGTAATCATCTCCCGCGGATACAGGAGGCAGCCCTTTGCTTCCTCCTGCACCACCCCCTTGTAAAGCATGGTCTTTGCCTTCACGGAAACTTCTATCTTTTAGGAAAAAAATCAGTGTTTAAGCAATAAATGCGCATCAGGCACAATTTAGTAAATTTGACTGATTGTTAGGGCCCTGCAGTGCCAACAACACTTGTGCGTCGAAAATCTAGGGCGCAAAACGAATAAGAGCAATGACGACCATTTTTTTACGCGAAAATGTTGCCAGCTTCGCGAAGCTTCTGCTCTCCGTCTGAACGTACTAGATTACAAAGGAGTCCGGTTTTCTTTCATGTTAAAATGTCACAGAAGATGAAATGAATTTTCTTAGTGTTGAGAAATTAAAACGGCTCATTCTCATAGAACATATGGAAACTTGCCAAAAAAGCAGTGCAGCTGTTGATGCTTGTAAGCGCCGGAATGCTCACCAAATGTTCCTTCCGTGGCAGAGTCTGTAAGGCTCCGCCTTCTCTGGTTTATCTGACGATGGTTCTGAGAAAAAATTCATTGACGTAAGGAAAAAAGGCCAGCGGAGTCCACGCGCAGATGTCCTCAACCAGCTGCGCTTGCCGATCGTTTCAGAGGCAGATCCACTCAAAATTTCGCCTTCGGTGTTTTTGCCATTCTGTAGCTTTTCTGTGGTCCTGATTACAGTTATAAAGTGCAAAATGTGGCCTTCGAAAACCCGATTTGTGGAAGCCCTATCCTGAACGCACAGATAACCTTCAGCACCTGGGTGGGCGGAGCTTGACAAGGAGGGCGTGCCTTGACAACGGTTTCGTGGATTCCACGTTCATTTTCTCCATCCAGAAACCTCTTTGGCGGATAGGATCAACGCACATACTTCTCTCCTGAGGTCAGCTTAGGCTAGTTTTTTCTAATCGAAAGTGCTTAGATTTTGTCTGGACACTGCCTTTGACAGTGTGATAAAGTGAATATCGTTAAAAATTTTTGCAAAATTTAGAAACCCTATACTTGTTGCCTCGTCTAGTTCTTGGCACATTCTCCTTCACATTGCGCTATGTGAATGAGGAAGCTTTCAAAGCTAACGTGCAATTCTATGCTCCCCGAATACCAAGTTCACAAGAGGGCCCTAGGGTAGGACATCTGTGTTGGTCTGGTCCTCTAATGTGGAGTATGAAGGGGGAAAATGGACCTGAAACAGGCGAAAGTGCTATCAAGCTCCGCCTACCTACCCAAGTACTGAAATAGTCTGTGCCTTGTAGGGGCTCCAGAAATCGCTTTTTTTGGGGGGGGGGGTTTACATATTTGCACCTTTCTGTGATTAGGGTCACGGTAAGGCCCCAGAATGACAAAACTACAGAAGACGAAAATCTGGGTGGATGCTGCTTTCAATGTAATGAAAAAATGTTATCTACGGAGGTAAAAAAAATTCGTAATGTTTCTCGAGTCGCGGTGCGATTTGGCAATGCTCTAGTTGTTTATAATTCATCGGACACGCATTTTTTTCAATAGAAAATCACTTCGCAATGTTATACAAACTGTGCAAAGTTCCGTGAGTGTTGGGTCCTAGAAACTCTGGCGCTGGCAAATGAAATCGCCCGAGGTGTGTTTAGGACCTTAATCCTTCCGAGTTAGCAACGACGACTGATCGTCATAGAGTGTATCCTTTTGCGAGTGCATATACCTAATTTTCGAAGATTTGCTATGCTAAACTTTTTGTCCAACAATCTATCTCTCCGCGAGGAGACCAATCCGATCGAAACAACTTCTTTTCCCTATTCCTGGTATCGTTCATTCGTTGACCGTACGGACTGCCGACCGCGTGGCGACTGCAACGCGTGCCTTCCAAACTTGCGAAAAAGTGACAAGTTGGACCGTGGCTTAAGATGAGAAGAATTCTTTGTTTCTTTTCTACATTATAAAGATGAGAAGAATCCTCTGTTTTCTTTCTATTCATCTTTTCTACGAAAACATCATGCACGCGCAGCGGTCGCCGCGCGGTCAGCAGTCGTTACGGTCAACGAATAGACGATACTAGTACAGTCTAGCTTCGATGAATATCGCGCCCCGTATAATAGTAACAATTGAGGCGCTCAATTTGTTTGCGTTACCGTCTAAGTATTTTCTGTAAATTTCCATTTATTTGAGCTTTAACTGTAAGTTTTTCAATATACTCTTCCCGCTGCTTCCAACTGCAGTACGTACTTTAGGCTTACTTGTTGTATATGTGCTAAATTCTAGTCAAGCGAGAACGTTATTAAGAAGACAAAAACTGGAGTAGATTTTTCAAAAGCGGTTTGTTTTAATTCATTTTTTTTTTGCAACCAAACAGATAAAATCTTTGAAGCTTAGTGAATCATAATGCACTTCATTACTCGTCCCAAATCTATATATATATATATAAAACTCAAAAATTGTCAGTTTGGAGGGTATGTGCGTTATAGAAACGCGCGCCACTCAACCGATTTAGCTGAAACTTTGCAAACATATGTTTTCGACCCTTGCGCAGATGATAGGCTACTTTTTGCGGCGATTCGTTGGGTTCTTCTATCGATTTATTGATTTGTTTACATTTTCCTAAGGAATTAAAGGGTTATCATGTTAAATCAAGCATTTTCCATACTCATGTAGAGGGCGGTGAAGCTCATTTTCACCTCAGGATCACGAGGATGCGGTTTCCAAGCGGATGTCCCAGGGTAAGTCATCCATACCATATAGGGCGGGGAGCGGGGGGGGGGGGGGGTTGGGGCTCGCAGTGCGGTGAACCATGGCCCGGGCTGGACCGGGAAAGTCAACTAGTACCTAGTAAAACTAGTGAAAATGACTATGAACTTGCAAGCATATTTCTACCAAGACGCAACTAAAACTGCAATACAATTAATAAAGAAAGTTCAATGTTTTTCGGTATCCTCGGAATTTCCCGCAGTTGTGCGTTCTTCTTCATTGCTCGAGTGCGAGCAACTAGGTTCTTCTTTTTGTTCAGCTGGAGCGCGTTTCTCGTCAAGTTTGAGTTTTTTCATTTTTGCCTCCATCACCTTCATCTGTCCTCGGAGATCAATTTGAGGAATTTGGTTTGAAACTATTCAGGCTGCATTCAGAGTTGCCCGTGTTCCAACGCCGTGCCAGCACCCACTAGACGCCGCTCCGTATGATCGATCAATGGTGCTGGCGCGCTGCTAGCTCGACGCGGGTTAGGCAACTCTAAACGCAGCCCGAGAGTGTAAGGCGTCGGGCATACTTCACGCGATTTCAGTCGCGACGCACTCTTTAAACTCATTGTAAGGGCATTCTGAATGTACAGAAGAAAAGGCATTTTAACAGCCTGCGGATGTTCTACACCCCATATATTTGTAGTTTGCAAGTGTTGCATTTGAAGACATTTGGTGAATTGCCAGATCACGTCGCGACTGAAATTGCGTGAAGCATGCCCGAGGCCTAAATCTAAATTTACCTTCTCTTCCTCTGTCTGTGATGGAAGTAAATGAGTAATGACACCTTCTCCGATGATTGCTTTTCCGTGACGGATTACGAATCGCTGTTGAGGACGGACTGACATTTTCTGATCCAAGTGTAGCTCGATCGGCCGTCCATAACAATTTTGATTTCATGGGAGATAGGAAATTACAAACTCGTACCTGTCGAATGATCCAGGCTCGATAAACATTCGTATTCCGTGGTTCATGATTAATCCAAATCTCGCCCAATTGCCTGAGATTACTTCTACAACGCTGCCGTCAGCAATCCACGTGTTGACATTAGCCTTGGCAGTCCAGAACTGCAGAACGCTTCACTAGTAACCAAAAAATATAATTTCTACTATTTTCAGTTTAGATGTCCCCCATCTCACATAAAAAGCCTGATAATATGATTATAGTCTAGTCACGAACAAGGGTATCCCTAAGCGAAGCGTACGCGACGCCTGCCATCGTTCGCGTCCCGCATCCCTATGATGAGCGCCGAATTCGCTCTGCATCGCTGGAATAAAAATGTACCTACTACATCAGCGAGAATTAAAGCTCGGTGCAAATTGACCTGGACCCCTCCCACCTCCTTAGTATTCGTGGAATGACTATCACGCGATGGGTACAGTTTATGTCAACGATGTGCTCCTTTCCAATCATCTCGAGTGCAACGCTGAACGCTAAAGCCAAGTCATTCGCGAGCGCACTGCTTAAGAGTTCGAACTTATCGCATCGATCGGAGACTTCGGCGCAATGCGCGCGCGCTGCAGATGCGTGTGGCTACGGGGAAGGGGGACCTGGCTGACATAGACTGTACGATTTCCCATGGCTGGCGTACGGTATATTTTGGTCAGACGAAAAATTCTCTGAATCCGAAAAGATAGGATATAAACACTCGAGCATGGGAATGCAGTAAGTTATTCTTCATAAAAAATTGTGCAAGACCCACCCGAGCCTTGATCTTGTCTGTAGGCTCATACCGATGTGCTTGCTGCGGTCTTGCACCACCTCTTCGGCCTCTTGCTCGTGGGGGAGGACTGAATTGAAAAGTGATGATTGAATAGGTACAAGGCTGGGGAGCCGAAAAAGGGGTGGGCATGTTATTAATTATAGCGATTCACTGCACGCAGAGAAAGTACTCCTCTGCGGACGGTGTCTTCGTCTCTCAGATTAAACGCACTTCCATTCCCCTATCCGTCTGCTGTTTTTCACGAACACAAAGTATTTTGATCGAACGCAAAGCGCACTTTACGTATAATATGAGTGACATCTATCAAAAAGCAGCTTGCAAAGCCTACGCCTCTTCGGTTTAGTGCTCTAACCAATGTATAAAGGTAACGAACCTTACTTCGCGAAATTTATACACAAATCCGGCAATCATGTTCTTCCACTCCTCCATCTCTTCACTTGACATGTTGCACAACCAAGCACAAATGCTGTTCGGGTTAAAAACTTCATCAAAAGCTTTTTTCCTAGCAGCTTCATCATCACCCATTTTCTTCCTGCAAGAGGAGAAAGATTGTAGCTGAATTAGCATTATCAATGATATCATTGATAATATTATATATGAATAAAACAATTCCAAAATCCGAACTGAACAAGAGTGAGTCAAACATGTTCATACCAGTGGCGGCAAGGATTTGGAGGTGGGCGGGGGAGGGGGGGGGGGGGGGGAAGAGAGCGGCAGAGATTTTTTTCGAAGAAAGGTGCGTAGCATTAATTCACCCCAAAGATTTTCTAAGATCCTTCTCATCTTTGTTGACGCCCGCAAAGAACATTTTTTACAAATCCGAATTTCAAAAAAATTCAAAAAATATTTTGATTATTCACAATTGTAAACAAGTCACTTGCACATCTTTATAAATAGTTGAAATTAATGAATAACGAATTTTTCTGACAATACGAACACTTCTGAATGTCTAATCAAGTTAATTGCTGACCGAAGGAGCGAGGAAGAGAGGGATAATAGCCACCTTTCCCTAAGACTGTGTAGTTTGTTGGAATTTATTAGGATGCTTAGCTAAAATCGCGCCCCTAGTTGTGCAAAGATTTCTTGTCCCCTCCCCCCTCCGCGGCAGAAAAGTCTGAACCGTCATTGAAAAACCCCAATTTGTCAGGCTACGAAAGAGCAGAAGAATGGTGAGAAGTGGACCTGGAAATGGATGACCTATCTAAGTGAAAGTGTTTTTTGAACAGTGCCCTGGTCCCCCCCCCCCCACTTCACTTCCACAAGGTAACGAGTTAATTAAAGCTAACGCAAGAAGACATATTCTTTATTCTGGAGAAAAAATGCACCATAGTGTGCCAAAAGACAGAAGGGGATGCTCAATGCTTCTAATATAAAGATCTTGTGCATCTGTGAAATGATAGATGGAATTCTACTGTAGAATGATTTCGATGAAGAATGATTCGAAAAAAATCTGATGATTCCATCTCAAACAGCTGAGATGTTTAGAAAACATTCTCTGTATTGGCAAAACATAAGCAAAGCACGCAGTCGCGCTGCTTTTGCATTTTTGCTTGTAGTTTCAGTCTACATTCAGACTTCGATAAAAAAAATATAATTTAATCGCTTTGCAAAATTGAGCGGTCAATAAGTTGTTTCGAGATATCGCCTTATCGACGAGGACATTTGTTTTATTTTGCAAAGATAATGACACTGAAAGCAACATCAAGTAGTGAAAGATATGCGACGCAAAAAGAGAGGGTAGGAGCTTTCTTATCTCCGAATCCGAGCAAAATATTTGCAAGTTGTAGGTGAAATATTAGCTGACTAGGTAAAATTCATATATTCAACGGCACTAAAAATACTCAAATCTATATGTAATATCTTTTTTATTTAAAGATGGATGAACTGTAGAAGCTATTCCGTCACTTGCACCATCCCACAATGAACTAGAGAGGCCATTTCGTTGCTTGCACCCACCAATCTTTTTAGACAAAACATTTCTTGGCTTTTTGGCCGAGTGTAAGAGGGCTTATGAAGAAAGAATTACTCTAAGGTAATAAAAATTTAAGTCGATCTTGAAGAAATACAATCATATAATGCCACCTAAATCTGCCAACAAGAATAAAATGGATCTAATAAACTCACAGTCTGTCTCGATTGCAGTGCCCTGTTCGACTGAGGCATCACGCCTTGCACGGCTTTTGCGAGCTTTGGCAGGAGCAGTCAACTCGGTCTCAAATATCGGAGATCAGTACACGATACTCGAGGAGCGGATGCGCAGCCGCACACAAAAAGGGCACTGCAATTGAGAGTAACTAATTAGTTAGGAGTATATGTGACTTCAGATGAGCTCAGGATATGAAGATACACTAAATCGGATCCTCTTACGCCTCGCGTTCGAGATTAAGATCAACATAAACATTTTTGGAATTAGGCGCGAGTTTGTTCGTAGAAGAAAACCCTGCCGGGCATGTGGGTCGACACTTGTATTTGAAAGGTCAGATTTTGCGTGGTGGTTGCAAGCACTCAGTGTTTACCAATGATTTGGTAATTTTGTCAAGCTCCTATTCTGGATGGCTGAAGATAGTATCCTGCGAACAAAATATCATTAACAAGAAGGATTTCAGTGAAGAATTTGCACTTGCCTCGCTAGTTGTTACTGCCGAACGCTCCAGTCATTACCGTATTCGAGTGAGTCGCATGTTCCGAAAAAAAATTCCGAGAAATTCTACAGTAGTTACGGTCCCATTGGGGTGGGGGGGGGGGGGGGAAATAGGGATTTTCTGAATGGAAAGACTTTAGCCGTGCGCGGACTCATAATTCAGTAAAGCCTCCAAATTTCTTTCATCAAGCCGTTCGAGTCTCAATGCTTCAAAATTATTTCGATCTTGTAGAAAACCAATCACTTGCTCAGTTTTTCGAATCATTTGAGCAAATCTTTGGATTCGAATTTTGATGTGTTTTTTGCTTCCATTTGTTTGCCGAATTTCGAGTACATTGTATAAATATCGAAAAGCGCTTTCCTGTAATTTGCCAAATTTTTTTTATGTGGATGAATCCGTTTCCACTATACAGCTTCTCACAACAATATTCTCCAAAAGCTTTTTCCTTCCTATTTCGCCGCGCATGCTTTCGTTTTGCTAAAAATCAATTGATTTTTGAATATCGTTTTTGGAAGTAAGAGATTCAACCTCAAAAATCAAAGGAAAATCACGTTCTTTGCAGCATATATAACAAGAAAAAACAAGAAACTTTTTTGAAAAAGAGCAAGACATTCGTGAGAAGTTGCGCGTCTAAATCTGTATTGGAATAAAGCTTTCAAGAAATTTTGGAGTGAAAATTCACAAACATACACGGTCGTCGCAGTCCTGAAAATCGAAAAAAGAGAAAAAGAAAAACGGGAGGCGATTTCCGTTTGCTCTGTAGAAAAAAAATTGAAAAAGCGATTTTTCGTCTCCTCAAAGATACCAAAAATGAACATTTTTGCAGTATTTTCTAAAGAATTTTTTTTGATTTATTAGTTATTGACTAAGTTTAGCAACTTCTTATTTATAACTTCTCCTTCATTAGATACGAGGCAATCAATTTTTGCCATTATATAGGTTATGATATAAGCTATGAGCAGCTACTGTCCTGCCAAATTCCAACGTAGCAATGAGGGTCACGGAAGTATACAGGATTGAGAAGAAAAGCGTAGATTGCTAAAAATTTGGCTGAAACTTGGTGTACGGGAGGGTGGGGGAGAGTGTTCGATATGCTGATCCCAGGAACAGTAACATCTGCTCCATGATGAAGGCAGTTGCCCAAATCGGTCGAAAACATGCAAGGCTGACGCGCACGCTACGCGCGCATGACCGCTGACCGATCATACCGTGCCCCATGGTTGACAATTGCCCGCGCACCGCATGCGCGTCAGCTTTGCATGCTTTCAACCTATTTAGGCAACCGCCTGTCGTAGATTATTTGCGAATCTACGACCTTTACCATTGTAGAGTCATATTGTATGCTATATTCAGTATCCACTAGTTTGTCGTTGACAGACACTACTGTTCACTGACCACTTAAGCCGCCAGGTCACCCCTCCACTGTGCTTGATAGTCTACTTGGCGGCGCCTACTTTCATGTAGGCAATCCTTGATTCTGTATGATACTGTTATTTGCCAGAAGTGAGCATTCAGGTTATCCACGCCCAAAATAGTGGCATAAAAGGGCCTGAATACTCAGTTCTGGGGTTGGTTCGATTATTACCATTATCGTCAGCGGCTGTTCCGCATATTCACTGTTAATAGTCAGCGGCTGCTCCGCTACTATCTGATAAACAGTTATACCCGTTGTGGTACCAGCTTGGTGTATACCAAATTGGTGCATCGGCCAACGGATCGTCTCTTCGGTGGCTCACCGAAATTCGATAAAAGTCCCGCGTGGCAGGCTACTAACAGCCGATTATTCGACTCTCGTGATTGCTGGTTCATCCACTTTCGCGACCAAGAGTCTTACTAAGCTGTCAGGTCCTATCCACAGCTTAGTAGAGGTTTCTAGCTAACTGACTGGTTCATCCACAGTTAGCGACAGACTCCTCGCACTCTAGGCTACTAATTAGCCAATATTCGACTCTAGTAATTGTTGGTTCATCCACTTTTACTAATACGGGTCTTGCTAAGCTATCAGGTCCTATCCATAGCTTAGCAGAGGTTTTCTAACTAATTGACTGGTTCATCCACAGTTAGTAAAAAAACTCCTCGAATTTTTTTTGGCTTCCAACAGCCGAAAAAGACTCTGTGATTGCTGGTTCATCCACTTTCACATACAAGAGTCAACTCGCTAAGCTATCAGGTCCTACCCATAGCTTAGCAGAGGTTTCTAACTAGCTGACTGGTTCATCCACAGTTAGTAAAAGAACTCCTCGAATTTTTTTTGGCTTCCAACAGCCAAAAAAGACTCTGTGATTGCTGGTTCATCCACTTTCACATACAAGAGTCAACTCGCTAAGCTATCAGGTCCTATCCATAGCTTAGCAGAGGTTTCTAACTAGCTGACTGGTTCATCCACAGTTAGTAAAAGAACTCCTCGAATTTTTTTTGGCTTCCGACAGCCAAAAAAGACTCTGTGATTGCTGGTTCATCCCTTTCACATACAAGAGTCAACTCGCTAAGCTATCAGGTCCTATCCATAGCTTAGCAGAGGTTTCTAACTAGCTGACTGGTTCATCCACAGTTAGTAAAAGAACTCCTCGAATTTTTTTTGGCTTCCAACAGCCAAAAAAGACTCTGTGATTGCTGGTTCATCCACTTTCACATACAAGAGTCACCTTATTAAGCTGTCAGGTCCAATCCACAGCTTAGTAAAGAGGTCAAACTAGCTGCCTGGTCAATCCACAGTTAGCAGACGACCCACCCAAGCTCCTTGACGGTTGATCAACAACAGTCAAATCAAAAGCTTGCTGCTAGCTATCAGGTCAACCCATAGCTCAGCAAAAGAAGCTACTTCAAGCTTTTTACCTGCATTCAGTCCATGCGAACGAGACAAACTATGTCCGAATTGGTTGG